GCCCATGTTTAAAACATAATATCAATTCATAATTCCTCCCATAGTGTGGATACATACTCTTCACAATGATATTAATCACCAGTATGTTATGTGTTCATAAAAGACCTTACATGATGCATTAATGTTGTATTTAATCAGTTGATTCAGTTGCTTATTATTTGGGGTTTAGACCCCTCCCCCTGTCTTTATAGGTCAGATAAAGTTTCTCTTCTCTGTTGGGGTGTAACCACACTGTCTCTTAGCTTGATAGCTTTGTTTACCTTGTATCTAAAAATGGACCTTCATTGTCTCTGCCTTATGGCTGGGCTGGTCACAGAATCACAGACCCATTCCTTTGTCTAAGCAGATCTGTTTAACTCTCCCCAACATACCTGGTTTACATACAGTTCAGTTATAATTTTAGCAGATACCATTATGCTTAATACACCCTGCAGTCAAACATCACACAAGAATATTAATGATCAGTGAGTTATTAGTTTTCAAGTAATACCTCACAAGGCATATTTGGTACAAAGATTATTACAGTAATATGTAGGGTGTGACTACAGGGGCACATAGTGTCATAACCTCCAATTTCCCTCTTCATCCCACCCTGTTTATTTCTATTCTGTCTGTGGGATAAATCACTCAGAGTGTTGTGTTAAAAGCTATTGGAAGGATGAACAAAGATGAGATATTGTTATCCTGAAAAGTGCCAGGCCGCTCTTAGACAGCTATATGATCTACAGATATTTGCAGAGGTGCATGAAAATCAGGCTGTGCTAAACACATGGCCTGGGCTGCATCTGTCCCCATTTTCTGTTTCATATTTTTCCAGTGTTTCCCACAATCAATAAGGTTCTGACCACTGATGCCTAGAATATTTTCTGAAATTGATTGGATGTGGCATTACAGACAGAAATGACCTCAAGTTGACTTGAAGGCCTTTGCAGTCTCTGCCAACTACCTCATAAACTCTCACTCAGCCCCAGAACCCGGCCCCTCTCACTGTGAGGAACCATCACATCACAGAGGCTAGGAAGGGAAACCAGGAAAAACACCCTCCTTCTAAGAATCCAGAACATTGGCACAAGGGGTACCCGAGAAGGCACTAACAGTAAGGAGACCCAGGCCCATTTCCCTGGTCCATGCCTTTCCTGGCTGGTGGAAGAGAATCAAAAACATCTGGGGCCTCCCACGAACACAGCTGGCCAAGGTGGAATTTGTGAAGATGGAAGTGAAGCGCATTTGCGAATCTGGCCACTAGGGACATAGGCAGAATTGAGCCATGAGACAGCAGAGGGGTCAGGGGCTGGAACCTGCCCTGGGAAGGACAAGGGGGCAGACAGCGAGTTTGTTCCAGTTGAAAGCCTTGGTTATGGCAAGAACAGCTCTATCATTATATCCCTGAATCTCCTCTCCCATGGGAGGGTATGCAGAGAGGACAGTCTCTCTTACACAGTATCTGGGGAATATAGAGGCTGATCCCCCTGAAATCTGGGGGTCCAGTGAAGAACACTGCACAGAATCTGACCCAGATGCTTCAGAGACCACCAACTTCTAATACCTGAGGAGATAGGAATCCCTTACCCAGTGAGGTCACAGCCTCATAATTCTGCTGTCTGACATCCCTGTAGAAGGCTCCCTGACCCAGGTCCAACAGAGTCCCCAGCCTCTTGGTGAAATACAGACACCTCCGCAGAGGTCACCAGCTCCCAGGCAGCCATTTCCCTTCTCCATCCCCTGGGAGGCTGCGATGATCTGGAGCAAAGTGTGAACGTTACTCTGCAGCCCATCGTGGCGAGAAGGGCAACTAGGGAGACTTCAGAAGGGGCTTTCATCCATTTCACACCCCAGTACCCCCCAGGATCTTTCCCGGCAGACAGATTCTAGATCAGGGTAGTCAACAGGCCAATGGTGGGCCAAATCCAGACTTCCAGACGCTTTTGAACAGACCGCAAAATCTTTTTATTGACTTATTATTATCATGATTGTTATAGTTTTTGTATTATATTCTCTGAAGTCTGGACCTTGTCTATACCTTGACCAAGAAATTTGGACCTTGACAAAAAATAATTGATTACCCCTGTTCTAGATTCTGTGATGCAGCAAAAATGCTCAGTCACTTTACTACAGCACAGACCAGGTCCCTCCCACCAGTATTAAACCACAAAGATATTTTTAAACCCTCTGAACCAAATGCTATAAAAGTGTAGCGCCAAAGGAGCTGCTTTGGGGGATTCCCCTGACGTTGTCCCAGAGGGCAGCAGGTTGACTCAGCAATACAGGGACTTGGCAGAGGCAGGACCTGGCTTTTCCTCTCTGTTCCGCACCTTGTTCCTAGGAAAGTGAATCTGCCTAGGAAGATGCACAAATGGAGCTGGGCAGGGCTGGGACCCTGGAACTTCCCTCCCCATTTACTGCTCCTTCTGCCCCTGCCAGTCTCTCTCTCTCTCCCTCTCCCTGCATCCCTTTCTATTTCCTTCCCCTCTATCCAGGAGACTGAGGGGATTTGCTGTCCCATAGCTAGATCAGCTCCTGCAAGACCCAATGGCAGTGTGAGAGCCCATGTATGCTAGTGAGGGCAGCAGCTCCGGGAGCAGAGCTGGGGCAAGGAGGGGCCGTATGTACACAGTCACTTTCCTGCCCAGCCCCAGCCCTTTCCCCTGGGTCTCTTTCATCCCCTGGAGTCTCTGCGTATTGGCCAACTCCATGGGTGCTCTGGGGCTGGAGCGGAGTGGGGGTGGGAAGATACGGAGTGAGAGCAGGGCCCTGAGGGAGGAGGACAGAGTGCGGGTGGGGCCTCGGAGGAGGGGGTGGAGCAGGGGCAGGAAGAGGCAGAGTGAGGGCAAGGCCTTGGGGTAAGGGGCACAGTGGGGGCAGGGCCTTGGGGCAGAGCGGGGGTAGAGGACCCCTGGGGAAAAGGAAGAGTTGGTGCCTGTGAGTCTCTGGTTCATGAGTTGATGTTGACAGAGCCCAGGCTGTCTTAGGGGGCCAGTTCCAGCCAACAGAGAAAGTCCACACCTCGGCTGGCCACAGAGGGAGCTTTTATGAAGGCCTCTCCCTGGCACAGATCCCACTGGGTGATCATCCTATAACTATGGCCTGCATTCTTTGCCTAATTGTATGAGTTTACATTTGGTCATACTGAAGTGCAAATTGTTTGCTGGGGACCAACTTAATAAGCAATCCAGATCGCTCTGTAAGAGTGACCTCTCCTCTTCATTAATTACTGGTCCCCCAATCTTTGTGTCATCTGCAAACTTTAGTGTTAGGATATAGATATTCAGGCCTGTCTGTAAAGGCCTGTACTCTAAGAATTTAGGTATATTCTTATCACTTGGCTAGTCATAGAGGTATAAAAAAAAGAATCAAAATCACTGTCTGCCAGTGTAAGGTCCTTCTCTTACTGTGACAGTCTGAGGCCCTGTTCTTAGGCTAAGGCCTTTGGCTAAGCAGCAGAAGCAGCCATAAGCTGGGAAGCGAATGGTCACATCCTCACATTCCAAACTAGTCACATTGAAAGAAGGTGCTATTGGGCTGTTAGGAATACAATCCTGTCCTGATAGTACCTATCACCTCCAGAGAAAGGGAAGTGCCTAGAAAATGTAAAAGGAAACTTAGTTTGATAGCATCCTGTCTGGCAAGAACTCACTTATCAATAGCTGGGATGTGAAATCCTCACTTCTGTATTGTTTTGTCATTATAGTTCCCACTTTGCTATTGTTTGTCTGTATAATCTCTGTCTGGTTCTATGATTGTTCCTGTCTGCTGTATAATTAATTTTGCTGGGTGTAAACTGATTAAGGTGGTGGGATATAATTGGTTACATAATCATGTTACAATATGTTAGGATTGGTTAGTTAAATTTCAGAAAAATGATTGGTTAAGGTATAGCTAAGCAGAACTCAAGTTTTACTATATAGTCTGCAGTCAATCAGGAAGTGAGGGAGTGGGTGGGTGTGTGGGTGGGGGAGATGGGAACAGGGAATGGGGGTAAGGAAATTGGAATCATATTTGGCTAAGGGCAGGAATGGGAACAGGGACAGAGGTGTAAAGCTCTGTGGTGTCAGAGCTGGGAAGGAGGATACTAAGGAAGGAAACTGGAAGTTCACCCCAATAAACATCGAACTGTTTGCACCTTTGGACTTCGGGTATTGTTGCTCTCTGTTCATGCGAGAAGGAGCAGGGAAGTAAGTGGGTGAAGGAATAAGCCCCCTAACATCTAGCAGTGATAATTTTACATTTTCCTTCAGGTTGCTGATAAAAACGTTAAGTAGTGTACTGCCAAGAATTGATCCCTGCAGGACCCCACTAGAAACACACCCGCTTCATGATGATTCCCCATTTACACTTACATTTTGACACCTGGTGGGTGAGGTAATATCTTTTATTGGACTAGCTGCTGTTGATGAAAGAGACACGCTTTCAACCTATACAGAGCTCTTCTTCAGGTCCTGTGTAAGCTTGAAAGCATGTCTCTCTCCCCAACAGAAGTTGGTTCGACATAGGATATTACCTCACCCACCTTGTTTCTCTAATATCCTGGGACTGACCCGGCTGCAACAATAGCACAAACAACATTTAGAAACCTGTCAGGTAGCCTGTTTTTAATCCATTTAATGTGTGCTGTGTTGATTTTGTCTAATTTTAGTTTTAAAATCAAAATCTTGTGCGGTACCAAGTCAAATGCCTTACAGACCTCTAAGTATATTACAGGAATATTATTACCTTTATCAACCAAAGTTGCAATCTCATCAAAAAAAATATCAAGTTAGCTTGACAGGATCTGTTTTCCATAAACCCAGGTTGACTGGAATTAATTATATTTCCCTCTTTAAATTCTTTATAGGGCTGTAGATTAATCATAGTTAACTCATGCAATTAACTCAAAAAAATTAATCATGATTAAAACAATTAATCGCAATTAATCGCACTGTTAAACAATAGAATACCAATTGAAATTTATTAAATATTTTGGATGTTTTTCTACATTTTCAAATATATCGATTTCAGCTGCAACACAGAATACAAAGTGTACAGTGTTCACTTTATATTATTTTTATTACAAATATTTGCACTGTAAAAATAAACAAAAGATTATTTTTCACTTCACCTCATACAAGCACTGTACAAACAATCTCTTTATCATGAAAGTGCAACTTACAAATGTAGTTTTTGTTGTTACATAACTGCACTCAAAAACAAAACAATGTAAAACTTTAGCACCTACAAGTCCACTCAGTCATACTTCTTGTTCAGCCAATGGCTAAGTCTGTATCCACTTTTAGGTCTGTACTTGAGTGACCAACAATGCCAGCAATGCCCCTCTGCCATGTACATTGGTCAAACTGGACAGTCTCTACATAAAAGAATAAATGGACACAAATCAAACATCAAGAATTATAACATTCAAAAACCAGTTGGAGAACACTTCAATCTCTTAGGTCACTCGATTACAGACCTAAAAGTGGCAATTCTTCAACAAAAAAACTTCAAAAACAGACTCCAACGAGAGACTGCTGAATTGGAATTAATTTGCAAACTGGATACAATTAACTTAGGCTTGAATAAAGACTGGGAGTGGATGTGTCATTACACAAAGTAAAACTATTTCCCCATGTTTATTTCACACACACACACACAGTTTTTCACACATTCTTGTCAACTGCTGGAAATGGCCCACCTTGATTATCACTACAAAAGCTTTCCTCCCCTCCCCCCGCTCTCCTGCTGGTAATAGCTCACCTTACCTGATCACTCTTGTTACAGTGTGTATGGTAGCACCCATTGTTTCATGTTCTCTGTGTATATAAAATCTCCCCACTGTATTTTCCACTACATGCATCCGATGAAGTGAGCTGTAGTTCACAAAAGCTTATGCTCAAATTTGTTAGTCTCTAAGGTGCCACAAGTCCTCCTTTTCTTTTTACTAAGAACATAGGCATTCCTCAATCCAACAGGTGTGCTCCAACCACACATAACTCCAAATAAAACAGCTGGGCTGGGGGAGAGCTTCTTCCCAACTTTTAGCCCAGTGGTTAGCACGCTCACCAGGATGTGGGAAAACCCTGTTCAATTCCCCTTTTGGCCTGATGAGAAAAATAGGTTTGAAGAGGAGTCTCACACCTCTCAGGTGAGTGCCCTAAATACTTGTTTACCAATACTCATGATTCTCACTCTTCCTCTGGCCCACTTAATATTTAATTAAAATGGAACAGCTTCAACAGGAGAGATTGAGAGAGCCCATTATCAGAACATCCCATTGTCCAATGTGAGTAACTGCTCATTCTTGTACCCCATGGGGCTAATCAGAGCTAAAGGGCTTGTCTGGACTTGAAACGCTACAGCAGCATCTCTTTACCTCTTCTATGTAGACACGATTTACGCCTGCGGGAAGGATTCTCCCATTGGTGTAGGTAAACCCCCGCCCCGAGAGGCGGTAACTAGGTCAACAGAAGAATTCCTCAGTCACCCTGGCGCTATCTACTCAGGGACTTGGGTTGGCTTAACTAGGCCAATCAGGAGTGTAGATTTTTCACTTGCCTGAGTGACTTAGTTATGATGACCTAATTTTCTAGAGCAGACCAGGACTTAGGTATTACATAAAATAAGGAAGTGTGGTAGAATCAGGCCCAGAGTGAAGTACTATTCCAAGTGAGGAAGAGTGGCCAAATCACATGCCCAGTTTCAGGATGAACATGTTGCCGGCACAGAGTGCCCGCGGCAAGCAACAGCTGGATTCGTTGCCCGGTATGCGTCGCACCAATGACCACAACGGGGTGGAGAAGCAGAGAGATTTATTTGGAGCTCCAAATAGGGCGCAGGGAGACTGAGCTGTCTCCAATCCTGCAGCCCCAAATGCAGGTTACAGTTTACATTTTATACCTTTGCCTACTTTACTACACAAGCTTATACAACCAATTACCTGTTGCCCCATACAATACCGTAGCCAATTAGCTAAAGCAGCCAGTTATGTTTTTCCTCAGTAGCATTGCCCGAGCCTTGCCTTATTTGGTTTATTTGTTACTGGTTTTTGCTAAACATTTTTGCCTTATTTATATGTTTTCCAGGCCGAAGCTGGCCTTGGCTAGCGAGCCGTGTGCAAACCTGTCTGTTTGTGTGCTACCTTCCTCATAGTTGTGCAGGGTCACAGAAAGTTTAAGGAGCAGAGGGGCTTTAGTTTATTTGGGCCTAGAGCAAGAGGGCTTTATTGACACTTGTAGTCTTCCACCCTCCCGAGTTACCTAGAGTAGTGCCCAGTGTCACTAACAAAGACACCCTCAAAACAAATCCCACAGTGGCAGAGAAATGGCTTATTTCACCCTTATGTACTTCAGCAATATCTGAAAATGTTTAATTCACATTTTCTTGGAAAAGAAATCGCACAGGGCCCTGCCAAGACCAAAATTTTTGCCCTTGTTTGTTCAGGGGCACAAATATTGCTTCCCAATCTGGTTCCTGAGCCCTAACTTGAACCCGTGACCAACAACAAACATTTGTGGAGTATCTACATTTGCATTCAGCATCATGTGAGTTCACCCAACATGTCAATCAACCTGAGTGACAACATGACCAACAATTCTAGTCTAGCCAGGGCCTAGGATTTAAGGCCATCAGCACATGCCTGGTTTTGTTTATTTGCATTGTCAGAAACATGTTTAGACAAGTGTAACTGATTGGAGTTTGTTTCGGAATAAGCTGTTCTCTCAGCCTTCCCTGTTCCATAGCATCACCACTGCAAAATATCATGGTTTACAACTTATAAACAAGATAAAAGCAATTCATTGAAACTGAGCAATATTTAATTATTTCCATCTCTTCCTTTATTGATAGGATGCTACAGAACAATTGTTTTTCTCTTTATAAAGAACAGGTTAGTGCAGTGTATTTGATCAGTAATAACTTCGATTAATGAAACCAACTATTTCTATGGAGGTTCCTATACTGTAATAGATCTATCTGTCTATCTAATATTTCAAAGGAGAAGTACAATCTCAGTTTACTTACAACAGATATGGGGCCAAATCCACTACTGGTGTTGATTGGTGTAGATCTATTGACTTCAACGAAAATAGACCAATTTACACTAGCTGAGGATCTGTCCCAGTGAAGGAGATTAGCAGTGCAGTTTCTAATTCTCTACTCAGAGGGCATGTCTATACTTATGGCTAAATGGGCACTGTGCAGCAGTGTCGATTTAGCGGGTCTGGTGAAGCCCCACTGAGTCGATGTAAGAGCATTCTCCCATTGATGTCTGTACTCCAGCTCCTTGAGAAGCTTAAGGTAAGTCGGCGGGAGACTGTCTCCCATTGACACAGTGCAGTGTAGAAACCACTGTAAGTTGACCTAACTCATGTCGACTTCAGTTACATAACTTACGTAACTGAAGTAGCATAACTTAGCTCGACTTACAGCTTTAGTGTAGACCAGCCCTCCGTGTCCAGTGCAGTTGTGCCTTCCCTAAATACCCATGAAGCAATTAAAGTTCAACTTTTTGAACCCAGTTAACCCTTTCCTGCTCCTGCTCTTGTTGTTCTTGCTGCTTCTGCAGCTGATGTTGCCCCCATGACAGATAGCTATCCCCGTGGATGTTCCTTGCTGCTCTCACAGCAGATTTCATAGCGGTGTCGATCCAGGCATGAGGCTGGGCTGTGTGTTCTCCTGCAAAGTGGACCCTCCCTTCATTCTGAAACAAAGGCCCAGAATAGTCAGCAAACTGGTAGGGGGTGAACGAGGCAAATGCTCCCATGGAATATTTGTCCAGGTTCCATCTCTGTATCACGTGTTTATCACAGATGAACCGGAGATGGCCCTTAGATACCTTGTGGATTTCTGCCAGGTCCTCCAACACCACATCGATGCACTTCTCATCACTCAGGGGAAGAAAGAATTCAGCGTCGTCGTTCCACGTGTAGGAAGCCACAATCACCCCCACCCCACTAGAGAAGTTGTGGTTGGGATAGTAGATGAATCTGGAAGGGTGATCTGTGACTGACGGCCCACCTCGAATCCCCTCCTTCTCCCAGAACTTTTCGGTGCAGACCAAGGCAACCTTGGTGGCAGTGGCATAGTGAATGGAGCGCAGGGCATGGCGCTTATTGGAGGAAAGCAGTGGCAGAAATTTGATATGTCTCGTGGCTTTTGCTGAGGCTGTGACAAGGACATAGTCAGCAGTCACTAAGGAGGGGCTCAGTGTGTTGGGTGCACGGTAAAACACTCGGACCTTGTTACCATTGGATATTATCTGCTCTACTGTGCAGTTCAGCTGGACAACTCCAGGCATAGACCGGTAGAAGGCCTGGGGCAATTGGTCGAATCCCCCTGTGATCTCATCAAAACTGAAAGAAACAAGAAGTGAGGAGTGAAAGAATTACATTAGTAGCAGTATCACGATTGCTTTTAGGGACAACAATAAAGTGGTGCCCCTTTGAGGTAGGGGCTGTGTCTGACAGACCCTGCCTCAAAGAGATTACACTCCAGCTAGACAAAACAGACCAAGAAACAGGGGCATTGTGGGTGGTGGGTGAACCACCCACTTGAGGAGGCTAGTCCCCGGCCCACCCCTTCTGCTTGAGGCCCCGAAACCTTCCTCCTCCCCCTTTCCCTCCCAAGCCCAGATCTCACCCCACCCCCCACAGCCATGAGCCTCCCCACACCCAGAGCACCGGACATGCGTGCACCCCCCCCCCCCCCGAACCCCAGAGCACTAGGTGGGTGGGCAGGCGGTGTGCAGCTCCCCCACCTCCCAGCCCCAGGCAGGCGGGTGGGCAGTGTGCAGCCTCCAGCCCCCCAGAGCACCGGGCAGGCGCAAGCCCCCTCTCCCAGCTTTGGAGCACCTAACAGTGCATGGCTCCAAGCCCCAGGCAGGCAGGAGGCACGTGGATCCCCGCAGCCCTGGAGTGGTGGGTGACACACAGACCCCCCGCCCTCGCCCCTCTGCCCTGGAGTACTGAGCGGTGCTGTCCCAATGCCAGGGCACCCCTGGCACTCGGCAGGCCCAGCTACCCCAAGTCCCAGCCACCCAAGCCCCAGCCCCAGCCGGCTTCCTTTCCTGAGAGGAGCAGCCTACCTGGGCTGGGGTCAATTAGCAGCAAGAAGGGAGGGGAGCCTCTGGACAGAGTGTAGGTGGGGCCAGGGGGGTTGTTGGGGCAGGCTCAGCCTTCCCCTGCCCATTACATGTGCTGCCCATGAGGGGAATTGAGCAGGAATTTAAATCTGACCCCTTTTGGTGGGGCAGGTTCTGTGCCTCCCCCACCACGACCCCAGGAGGAGCTCGTTCTCCTGCCCTTATCCCTGGCAGGATCTTGCTCTTCCCTCTAACCCAGCAGGAACTCTCTCTTCTCTTCCTCCCCCTACGCTGACCCTGGGAGGAGCTTACTCTTCCCTGCCCCCAGGGCCAGAGAAGTTCTGTGCCCTCGACGATTACTGGGGGGGCATGCCCCTGCTTGCCCCCCCCCCCGCCCGTATACGCCCCTGCTAAGAAAGGTTTATAATTGCCATTTTACAGAAGGGGGAGCTGAGGCATGGAGAAAGCAAGTGACATGCCCAAGGTGACACATGAAATCTGTCATAGAATCATAGAATATCAGGGTTGGAAGGGACCTCAGGAGGTCATCTAGTCCAACCCCCTGCTCAAAAGCAGGACCCATACCCAATTAAATCATCCCAGCCAGGGCTTTGTCAAGCCTGACCTTAAAAACTTCTAAGGAAGGAGATTCTACCACCTCCCTAGGTAACGCATTCCAGTGTTTCACCACCCTCCTAGTGAAAAAGTTTTTCCTAATATCCAACCTAAACCTCCCCCACTGCAACTTGAGACCATTACTCCTTGTCCTGTCCTCTTCTACCACTGAGAATAGTCTAGAACCATCCTCTCTGGAACCACCTCTCAGGTAGTTGAAAGCAGCTATCAAATCCCCCCTCATTCTTCTCTTCTGCAGACTAAACAATCCCAGTTCCCTCAGCCTCTCCTCATCAGTCATACAGTTGGGTACTGAATCCAGATCTCCTAAGATCCAAGCCAGGGTTTTAACAACGGATCCTATGTATCTCAAGAGAAAGATAGCAAACAATCCCTCCCCACTGTAGGTTTGAACCCAAGCCCTGCCAGAACACAGCACAGAGTGTGACCATTTCAGAAAGAGCAAATTATAGCTGCAATTGATGATAGTCACGTAAGTCAATAAGAGCCCCACAGAAATCTCTCAAAATAGGGCTTAAGTGACCCACAGGCCTGGGGCCCGGAGGTGAATTTCAGCCAATACTGGGGAATTCCGATTGAGCTGCACAAGGTGAGTCAAACTTATGGCCCAGATTAAGTAAAACAGGAATATATCCTGCTGACAATACGACCCATTCGGTGATAGAGATTGCTTCTCTCTGCACATTCTAACTTCCACCAGAGGAGTTTCACATTGCTAAGATGGAGTGTCTGTCTCTTCCCCTCTCAGCTGCAAGAAGAAGGATAGTATTATTTATTTACTAGCATTGCAGTCACACAAAGGGTACGTATACACTGCCGGCGGCAGAAAGACTCTGAGCCCAGGTTGAGAGACTTGGGTTAGCGGGTCTCGCAGGAGCACTGTAGAAATAGCTGTGTAGACAGTGCTTTGAGGTTGTGGCTTGGGCTGGAACTCGGGCTCTCAAGCCCACCCATCTCCCTAGCCTACAGGGCCTGAGCTCCAGCCCAAGCTGCAATTTCGGAGTTCTGTCTACACAGCTATTTGTACAGTGCTAGTAAAATCCCCACTAGCCTAAGTCTCTCAACATGGCCTAGGAGACTCACTGCCATGGGCAGCCTCCTGGTAATGCAGACATACCCCTAGAGGCCAACAATCAAAGGCCCCATAGTCCTAGGTAAAGTACACACATGCAGAATGAAAAGATATAGCCACGCTCCAGAGACCTTGCAATTTAAGTACATTCGTTTCTCACCCGTCTTCATGAGAGAAGATATTAAACTCCATGAGAGAGTTAAGAAATGACATGTGGAATCCAGCATCCTCATTCATCAAGTCTCCGATCATCTGTACAGCCCCATGGCTTAATTTCCCTTCTTTAATCAAGTACTCCTGGGAGGGGAGGAAAGTGAGTAAAGTTGTTCTCTCTTTAGGCACAAGAAGGACATTTATGCTGGAAATAAGAGGCATGGAGGCATCATTGGGGAAAGATTTGACTTCCATGAGGAAGGAGAAGATAAAGGGTTATTTTCAAGTTTTATATTGTGATGATATTGTTGCCCCTTTTTGGCCTGAGCCATTGCCAATATCCAAAGCCTTGCCTCGTTCTTTCTGTTTGAAGGAGAGATTGAGGATGTGAGTCAGGTCGGTCTTTGGTTCAATCCTGTCTATTTAAAAAGAATGGACACAACATCCTGTTTCCCTGAACACAGTAGTAACAATCAACAGGAAGCAATGTCCCTGCTCAGCAATCCAAGTCTGCCTTTCCAGAAAATACTGTGACCAAAAGAAGCTCCCTCCCTTGTTTTCCTCTCGGGCCCATGTTCATCACTGCAACTCTCTCTTTCTTCTTGCTTCCTTTCTCTCACATACACAGACTCAGCTGCAGACATTCAACCCCTAGCCCCTGTGTTTGCAGTCAACCATAGGGAAACCCCTCAGTCCACACAGCTTAGCTTCTGATTGGCCTTGTAGTGCCTTGGGCAGTGGCTTACACTACCACTAGCTATCTTACTCCAGAAAGGAGCTTAATTGCTTCTTCCATATATCCTGAATGAAGGGTGGTTAGCATGCCCATCCACTTTAACCAGGTCTGTGGATAATTTATGTATTAAAGATATGCTTGATTGCAACCATTAACACCTTCCAGCACAACAACATTACAATAATAATTGAAGGAAGTATGACATATGTCTGGCTCTCGGTCCTTTATTTTCCATACTCTTGGCCACAACCAAAATCCGGGCCACTCAGGCTGCCAAAAGGAGAAGGCAATCCCAATAGGCTGTGCAGAGTTTCATAATATGATGTTTTCCCTCATTCCTTTACTGGTGCTTTGAATAAAGGACAACCTCGACATGAAAATTGGCATCATTAGGTTTCATCAGGATAAACAGGCGCGTTTTACACCTCTCTCAGAGCAATTATTTCAGGATTTCCATAAACATTTGGATTTAAAGGTACTCAAAGGTCCATATCCATTACCTTGGTGGAAAAGGAGTCATACTGATCCAGCAGCTCTTCACAACCTGAACTCCGGAACTGTTTTAGGGTCTGTGTTGGAACCATGCATGGAAACATTCAGAGCCAGAAAGAGAAATATGTTCACAAAAACACTGGACCAAATTCTGTTCTCCTATCTAACTAACCATCTATGCAAGTACCTATACTTGCATGACCCTCCTCGCCATGATATCTGCAGGCTTCATAATTGCCGATGGATTTTATTCCCAAAATACTCCTTTGAGGTAGGGAAGAATCAGCTCCACTTTACAGAGCACATAGCTATGGCAGCAACTGAACCCAAATCTCTTGAGTCCTACTGCAATGCCCTATCTACTTGACCCTAATTCCTCTGTATAGCCATGAAACCCCACTGAATGTAACTGAGGTGCATGGCACAGTCTCCAGCCCTGCTGTTGTTAAATGGCAGGAGTTGATCCCGAGTTCACTGTTTAGGAAACAAAAACAGGTGTTTCTTTTCAGAGGTGCTGAGCACCCACAGCTCTGGGGGGATCACATGAATAAAAGTGAAAGGAAAACCGGGGCCAGATCATGTGGTAAATCCCCCACAAGGAGTATTATAGCTACATGCAGGCAGCAGTCTAAGATTCCCCTGACACAGGATGTATTCTGGGTTGGAACGGTGTTGAGAAGGGATGTGTTGGGAAAGGAGCAGGGGAGACCAGCACATACTGCAGAAGAAGAGACCTCCTGTACTGCAGTACAAGTTAGGGCCATTTCTCAGAATCAGGCCTGGTGATTTCTTTTCTTTTATACAATCAACCAATAAACATACCTTCTTCAGAATTCCTAGATAAAGTTCCTTCGCAGATTTGCCTCTCTCTGAGGGAGCCACAGTATAATTCAAGATATCAGGGTTCTGTTTGACCTTCCCAGCTGTTGTCCTGACACCATTAACCAAATACCAGGCATTGTCATCCATCTCAGAGAACTTGTTTAGCTTAAGGTCAAATTGTCTAATAAATTCACGAACAATACTGCGAAAGAAAGAAAGGGGAGAGAAAGGGGAAAGGAGAGAGTGAAAAATAAGAAAATAAATTATACGCTCTACTGGCTATACAAATAATATGGTTGTAAGTATGTTATTTATGTCATTCCCTTTTTGAACTTTCCTGATTCCAACTAATGTGATTAATGCTGTAGGACAGGGGTGGCCAACCTGAGTCTGAGAAGGAGCCAGAATTTACCAATGTAGATTGCCAAAGAGCCACAGTAATACGTCAGCACCCCCCATCAGCTCCCCACCCCCGCTCCGAGCGCCTCCCACCCACCAGTAGCCCCGCCGATCTGCGCCTACCCCTCCCTCCCCGCACCTCCCAATCAGCTGTTTCATGGCATGCAGGAGGCTCTGGGGGTGGGGTGGGGGGAGGAGCGAGGGCACGGCAGGCTCAGGGGAGGGGGCAGGAATGGGTGGAGTCGGGGCAGGCCCTGTGGCAGAGCCAGGGGTTGAGCAGTAAGCACCCCCCGGCACATTGGAAAGTTGGCACCTGTAGCTCCAGCCCCAGAATCAGTCCCTATACAAGGAACCGCATATTAACTTCTGAAGAGTCGCATGTGGTCTGGAGCCACAGGTTGGCCACCCCTGCTGTAGGAATATGATAGATAGGTAGATAGATAGATCCTGATGTAAACTGATGTCGTTCCATTGACTACAAGGGGACTACCAGCTATATAGTAGCTGAGGGCTTGGAATATTGACTGGTTACCACAGATGTTGTATATGATAACCTCATCTGTTGTTCTGCTTCTGAATTGTAGTCTCAGTTCATGGTAGTTTCCTTTGAAGTTAGGGTACATTTAGGGTACTGTTTTTTGTGTTTGTTTGTTTTAATAAGCTTTTGCTCCATATAATTGTGCTGAAAAAGATTCTAGTCTATTCTATTCTAGTTCTTATACTTCCTCACAAAACAATTGGGTGCAGTGTTTTATGAAACAATGCAACTCATTTCAAATCACTTTGGCTAATGAAGAGCCCATATCTATTGTCTGGCTTCCCTTTGACTCAGGGCCTGATACAACTTCCGTTAACATAAATTGGAATTTTTCCATTGGTTTCCATTGGAAGTTTGACCATGCACTCACAAGCTGCCAGTTCCATAACTAGGCCCCGATCCTGAAAAAACTTATTGCTCAGTTCATTGTTTACTATTGGCCATAATCCCACCCAGGTCATTGTGACTAGTCATGGCAGGAAATATTACATCTAGCAGCAAGTTCTTTTAGGGTGTTTGATCTCATCCCTAACCACAGCAGAATTCTGCAAAACTGGGCTGTTCCTTTACCAAACAACTTACATGGCTGAGGAGTGGAAACTGTATTACCTGTGGATGCTTGGCAAACGCATGGCTCCCAACTCCACGTACCAATCTTGTGTCTCATCTCGATAGGTCCTGATTCGTCCTCCCACACGACCACTGGTTTCCAGAACTGTAACCTAGGAACCAGCATGGAACATCATTTCCACTCACTTATGTGGCACATGCAGAATTTTAGGCGCAAAGGACAAAACTTTCAAACCTTGGTGACTAAAATTAGGTAACTGAATCTACATTCAGGCACCTGAATAAGTGTCCTGATGGCTCTGCACCCACCAGTTCCTAACATTATGTACATTGCACCTCTGAAAATTGCACCCATTTAAGGTGGGATTTTCAAAAGCGCACCATCTTGGTTGAACTGCACCCACTGCAGTCAATGGGAGGAGACTGATGCCAAATTTGAGTGCACCTTAAAATCTGAGAGCCAGTTCTACACTCCCAAGGTTTGTCGGCCTAGTTGTGTTGTCAGGGGTATGAAAAAAAACCACACATCCCAGGCAACATAAGAATGCTGGCAAAACCCCCAGTGTAAACATAGCTAGGACAACACAAGAGTGCTTCTGTTGACACAACTAATGTCATTTGGGGACGTGGAGTTACCATACTGACAGACAAAACTCATTCTGTCATCATAAGCTGCATCTAAACTAGGCAGCTCTGCTGGAATAGCTATCCTGGCAAAGAATTTGTAGTGTAGGCAAGGTCTGAGCCTTACATGCTGGCATAAGGATTTTGAGGGAAGATTTTCTCTAGCTGCATTTAACTGTCATTGTGCTTTTGAAAACCTTCCTGTAGGTGCTTAACTTTAAGCACCCAAGTTTGAACATTTTGTCTGTATGTTTTCCAAAGCATCAGGGTCCTCAGAATTCACAAAGACCATAGACTGGGATTTTCAACTCCCTAGGCTTCTATGCCTGAAAGACAAATGGATTTATGTGGGAGTTAAATAGTTCATAAGTCTTGCACTGACTCCCCTGTACACAGAGATGAAGATCATTTAAAGATATGCATCCACTGGGCTGAAATTCACCTCTGTTGTTTGTGGCACGCAAAGAACATAAAAAGAAGGCAGAGTGAAGGCTACCAATAGCACATCAATTTTCACATGCTTAGATTTCTGCGAAAGAATGTATGCCCTGTACAGATATTGACATTTGAAAGTAGATAACTGTAACTTGCCACTTTCTAATGGATAGGGTTATTTTGAAACTGTAGCTTTTGGGGTGTTAGTTCCCCTTTCTATTTCTTATGATAGTTACTGTAACTTCTCCAGCTTTAAATTAATGAAGTTTTAGGGAAATGTTCCAGGACAGAAATGGGAACAGGGGAGCCTAAATCTTATTAAAATACAATGGGAGTTGGGCACCTAAAGTCCCATTATTGCCTTTGAAAAATCTCTTCCTTTGTCAGCAAGCCTTTTCTTTCTTTCTTTTTTTCATGGAAATTCCCCTTGTTTCATTATTATCCATTCTTTAGCCTATTAACCTTTATTCCTCAGACAAGAAATAATGAAAAATACTCAAGCCAGCAGTGACTCCCTGCCTTGCTCTGACATCTCTCTGTGCATAGAATTACCATGTGACCAGCATCTCTGAGCAGTTTGGCAGCAGTGAGTCCACTTATGCCTGCCCCTACAATGACCACCTCCACTGGATGAGTTGCCTTTCCGAGCCCATTTTCAGCAATCTTCACCAGGTCATTGTAGTCGGGATCATCAAGGCAAGGGAAGCTAGAGAAACTCTCAGGCCATAATACAGCCACAAGGAAACACAGCCTGGAAAGCACTGGGGACATATGGACAAAGAGAAGTGAGGTGTAGTTAATGAATGATGCAGTCAGGGAAGCAAATTCATTTTCTGAAACCCAGATGGCAGGTGGCATCCCTGAAATGACACGAATCAACCCACAGCAGAGCTAAAATCCATAAAAGGGTGTGCAGCAAACCAGCCCTGAGTATTGCCAGACGATACATAAGAGCAAACCAGCTCCTAACTTTACCAGTGTAGAGAGACTATCATTTTAAGGTATGTCTACACTGGAGATGCATGTGTCATTTCCAGCTTGAGTAGACAGACCTGTGCTCCCTCTTATTGAGCTAGCATGGTAAAAATAGAATGGTATCCACAGCAGTGGAAGCATGGGGCGGGGAGAAGTATATTCCTAGGATCTTGGACAGAACCATATTAGGGGCAGGTACCCCTTCCTGCTGCTCACACCACCATGGCTACCCTCAGATTATAAAATCTCTGGGGAATGGGCTGTCATTTAAAACATCTTTGCACAGTGCCTAGCACAATGAAGGTGAGAGGCCTGGGTGAGACCTCTTGGATCCACTACACATGGAGTCGTTGACAGCCTAGGTAGAGAAGCTCAAACATATAACTCATCTCTGGCAGAGTGTGTGTCCGTCCCACCCGTGATGTGCCATACCCAAGCCCTAGGGACAGGGCAGCAACCTGGGGAGAGGAGCTGCAATGTAATGAATATAATGGGCAAGAGTTTCAGAAGTGCTGTTGTGTGACCAACTTGGGACACTTGAAAGAGGGCTGATTTTCAGATAGCAGGTGTCCAGCCTTTTCTGAAAAATGAAGCCCCTTTTAGACGCCTCAACTGGGGCACACTGAAATTGCTCTTTACCCTGTAGCTAAACCACAAGACATGGGCTTGATGCAGGAATTACAAGATGAAATTCTATGTCTTGCATTAGGCAGGAGTCAGACTGGAAGATCACAATGGTCCCCTCTGGACTTAGGGTCTGTGAAATAATAAGGCATGCAAAATCAATAGCCATTGTTAAATGGCTTGGCCCAAAAGATACAAAACATTTTGTTAACTTTAAGGTCTTGTCCACACTGCAGATCTTTTCCCAAAAAATTCAAACCAGTTTCAGTTGGAGCCACATTTGGAGCCACAGAGTCAATAAGTTTGTTGTTGGCCATAATCATATTTATAACCAGTTTAAATAATTTGGCTATCAGGAGGCTTAAGTAAACCAGTTATAAGAATGATTTTGGCTGCTTGAGCCTTGTCTACATTGGGGTTCTAACTAGGTTCAAACTGATTTTAAAACCAGTTTGAATCGTTTAATACATTTCCCCAGTGTGGACAAAATTGTAGTGAAGGGTGCTACTTAACTTTAAAGTTCAAAAGGAACTTTATAACAAGGAATATTAAAGACATTTAAATAAAACGTTAAGGCGCAGTGGGTGAGATTTTCAAAAGCGCTCAGTGTTGACCTAAATTTGCTCCCACTAAAGTAATTGAATCTCCACACTGCTACAGTGCTTTTACTCCATTGGCTATTTTGGAAATATTGGTGATTAGACCTCTCTGTGCTCCTCAAATAAATTTAGTTTTCTAGAAATGCCCTGAGAACCAGCAGGGTAGAGCCGAGCCCATTCAGAACAATCCTTTAAACTATAAACAGATGCATCAGCAATGCATATAAATTCAGTTCTCAGTGATGAGAAACACAGTTCAAGAGTTTCCAGTTTCAGGTGGAAGCTACTACCCAAAGAACCACAGAATAAGATTTTTTTTTCTCTTCCCTTCTCAAACAGGCACCAGTTTCACTCAAGAAACTAAACAGTACCAAAAATTTCCTTTGGACAACATGACTTGGTTTAAACCCTGATCCTACAAGCCTGACTCATACTAGGAATCTCATGGAATCATTGTTGGCACTGGAACAGTGTCCCTGATCCATGCCCCAGCCTTGAACAGTTGTAAGTGAGACCCCCCCACACCCCACCCCCAGCATATTATTGGATGGCACTTTCTCAGAGGGTTACACAGTATTAACAGCAATCGATGCATTTAGAGTCTAATCCTGCTGCCATTGAAGTTAAAGGCAAAAATTCCCATTGCTTTCAATCATTCAGGATCAAGCCCTGAGTGTGACCAAATTTTCCCATAAAATACCCACAAAGGTGGGTATGGATTCTCTTTTTTAAAAATCACATTGCCACCAAGAAAGCGTGATCCAAGGCTCATGGAAATCAGTGGGAATCAACTTCAAGGGAGCAGAAAGGGGTACTGAAAAACAAAGCCCAAGACATATTCATCTAAAAAAGAGCAAAAAAAAGTGAGAGGTTAAAATAAAGAGAAAGATGCAAAACAAGAAACCAGCTGAAGATGGACTAACACACGTCCTTTCCTAGCCTCAAAGCAATTCTCCCAGCACAGCAGTGTCACTTACAGAATCTGTCCATGTTTCCACCAGCAGCACTAGTCATCTAGTGATCACTTTCATTTTATAGCCTGAACCAGCTGGTCTCAGAAAAAAAAAGTAGTTCAAAACTTCCAACCAATCAGTATGTTCCAAATACTGAGAGAGATGTAATTAATTATTCTAGGGGAAAAGAATTTCCAGTCTGACACAATTATGTGTATCTTTCTGCCCCACCCTTTGATCAGGAGACACCAACTGACTGGAACACAAGTTACTTATTCTTCTGGTAAGTCCCAAACATGTATACATGCAGGTCATACATCTATCTGTCTTCCTTTCAGCAGACATAATACAATGCCTAATTCTGTAATTTGCAAAAATCTCTATGGATTTTTCTGCCTATTGCCTGCCTAAATCTGAATAAATCTGTGCAAGGCACAGGGGGAAATTGATGAAATTTCTGTGGATATTTATGCTACACTCCTGCAAGCAGTTCAATATCTCTCACTTTGCATCCCTCCATTGGATCCCCTTGTCTTCCCTGGCAAGGCCAATCATGGACTATCCCCACTCCACCTATAATCTCTCGCACCACTGTGCTGTGGATACCTGCCCCAAGCGAGGTGCAATGGGGGGAGTGTACCTCTCCTCACAGTGAGTAGTCCCCGGCTGCCTTCTGTCCCTCCCATGGCCCAGCGCGGTAGCCATGCTTCTGTTCTGCCCGTGCAAGTAAATGGGGTGCGGGCCACGTCCCTTCCCCTCCCTCCCCGGCATGGGGCAGAAGCAGTGGGATGGCCAAGATTGGGAAGGGACTGGGACATTCCCAGCACCTTCAGCAGCCGCTCCACCTGGCCGTAGCTCACAGCACCCCGAGGTGGGCTGACCTGGACGCTCACACTGTTCCAGCCCCGCATGCTGGGTGGCCACCATGCCAGGAACCTGCCTGGCCGCAGGGGAGCAGTGTGTATTAACTTTAACTTTTAACCCACTTTTAACTTTTAGGTTCCCCTAGAACACCAGCACCCCTAGGCATGTGCCCACTGTGCCTAATTGGAAATCCGGCCCTGCAGAAGTGACAGTTGTGATCATCTAGTCTCACCTCCTGCACGTTGCAGGCCACAGAACCTCGTCCACCTACTCCTGTAATAAACCCCGATCCTCTGGCTGAGTTACTGAAGTCCTCAAACCATGGTTTAAAGACATCAAGTTACAGAGAATTCACCATTTACACTAGTTTTAACCTGCAAGTGACCTGTGCCCCATGCTGCAGAGGAAGACAAAATCCCCCCAGGGTGTCTGCCAATCTGATCCAGGGGAAAATTTCTTCCTAACCGCATATGTGGTGGTCAGTTGGACCCTGAACATGTTGGCAAGACCCATCAACCAGACACCAGGGAAAGAATTCTCTGTAGTAACTCAGAGACCTTCCCATCTAGTGTCTCATCACCAGTCATCGGGGATATTTGCTACTAACATTTGCGGATTGGCTACATGCCATTGTAGGCAGTCTCATCATACCGTCTCCTCCATAAATTTAATGAGCTCGGTCTTGAAGTCAGTTAGGTTTTTTTGCCCCCACTGCTCCCCTTGGAAGGCTGTCCCAGAACTTCACTCCTCTGATGGTTAGAAACCTTTACCTAATTGCAAGCCTAAACTTGTTGATGGCCGTTTATATCCATTTATTCTTATGTCCACGTTGGCTTAACTTAAATAACTCCTCTCCCTCCCTGGTATTTATCCCTCTGATGTATTTATAGACAGAAATCCTATCTCCCTTCAGCCTTGGTTAGACTAAAAAAGCCAAGATCTATGTGTTTCCTCTCATAAGGACCATCACCCCATTATGAGAGGTGCTGTATAATCATAGAACAAAATAGACATCGGTGATGAAGCAAGGTGGGGTGGGGGTCCTGTTTTTCAATGGTTTGCATGCAGAGGGTGTGGGACTCAGTTTCCCTGGGTGTTACTGGTTTAACAGGGTGGTGGGAGAGGGAGTTTGTTGTTACAGAGGGCCAGTGAATGGCCTGGAGAATGGATACGCCAGCGACAGGTGACCTGGTGACCGGGAGGCCCAGCTTGGGAGTCACAGCTGGTTCTGGCCAGTGAGAGGACAATGGGCTATGGAGACAGGACCCTGGTGACCTGACCAGCCAGTTCCAGCCAGTGGGGAAACAAAGGACGGATGAGAGGAGAGGCTGAGAGAAGAGGAAGCCCAGGTGGCCTGTTTACCTGGGACGGAAGACAAAGGACAGAGGTGGGACTTGGGGGATGCTGATATCAGATGCCCACGTGGAAGGAAGGGTTTTTCTGGGCTGGGAGGAGAGAGCAGCCAAAGCTAAGGTTGCCAACTTTCTAATTGCACAAAACTGAACACCCTAGCTCTGCCCCTTCCCTGAGGCCCCGCCCCCTGCTCATTACATTCCCCCTTCCTCGGTGGCTTGCTCTCCCCAACCCTTACTCTCTTTCACTGAGCTGGGGCAGGAGCTTTGGGTGTGGGAGGGGGTGAGGGCTCCGGGTGGGGGAGTGGGCTCTGGGGTGGGGCTGGGGATGAGGGGTTTGAGGTGTAGGAGGGGGCTCCAGGCTGAGAGGTGGGGCTGAGGGATTCGAAATGTGGGAGGGGACTGCAGGTTGAGGCAGGGGGTTGGAGTGTAGGAGGGGGTATGGGCTCTAGGCTAGGGGTATGGGCTCTGGGGTGGGGCCGGGGGTGAGGGGCTTGGGGTGCAGGAGGGGGCTCCAGGTTTGGGGGGGCTCAGGGCTGGGGCAGAGGGTTGGGGTGCAGGAGGGGGTATGGGCTCTGGGCTAGGGGTGCAGGTTCTGGGGTGGGTCTGGGGAAGAGGGGTTTGGGGTGCAGGAGGGGGCTCAGGGCTGGGGCAGGGGGTTGGGGCTTGGGGTCGGGGCGCTGGCTTACCTCGGGTGGCCCCTGGTCAGCGGCACAGCGGGGCTAAGGCAGGCTGCCTGCCTGTCCTGATACCGTGTTGCATGTGTCCTGGAAGCTGCCAGCAGGTCTGGCGCTAGTAGGCGGCTGGGAGGGGGGCAGGAGGCTCTGCGTGCTGCTCTAGTCCGCAGGCACTGCCCCCTAGCTCCTATTGGTCAGTTCCCAAATGGGAGCAGCCCCCCCCCGCCTAGAAGCCAGACCTGCTGGCTGCTTCCGGGGTGCAGCGCAGTGCCAGGACAGATAGCAATCAGCCTGCCTTAGTGCCACAGCACCGCCGACCGGCCCTTTGACGTCCCAAACGGCGGCGCTGACTGGAGCTGCTAGGGTCCTTTTCGACCAGGTGTTCTGGTCGAAAACTGGACACCTGGTCACCCTAGCCAGAGCTAGGACAACCTGCAGGCTGGAGAGACCTAGATGTACTGTTCTGAGGGATGGTAGGCCTGAGGCCCTGAGAGTTTTGTATACTGTGATCAGACGTGCAATAAACCCTCCTGTTTTACGCTGGCTGAGAGTCACTCCAGTCTAGAGGTCGCGGTTGCATTATTCCTGCTGCGCGTGGAGGCCCTCGGGGTCCAGAGCAAGTGGACTCCCTGAGGGGTCCACATCGAGAGACAGGCACGCTGAGGGCTCAGAGAGGTGCGGTTCTGGGAGGCGGCGGGGCCTACAGCTTAACCCCTGTGAGAGAGTGGACCCCGAGAAGGGCTGTCACACTGAAGGGGTTTCAGAGTGGTAGCCATGTTAGTCTGTATCAGCAAAAACAACGAGGAGTCCTTGTGGTACCTTAGTGACTAACACATTTATTTGGGCATAAGCTTTCGTAGGCTAGAACCCACTTCATCAGATGCACAGAGTGGAGAATACAGTAGCAGGTATATAGACATAGTACATGAAAAGAATTCCCATCTTTTCATGTACTATGTATACATACCTGTTACTGTATTTTCCACTCTATGCATCTGATGAAGTGGGTTCTAGCCTACGAAATCTTATGCATCCGATGAAGTGAGCTGTAGCTCACGAAAGCTTATGCTCAAATAAATTTGTTTGTCTCTAAGGTTCCACAAGTACTCCTTTTCTTTTTGCAAATACAGACTAACACCGCTGCTACTCTGAAACCTGTCATTATGCAAGAAAATAAGGGAACTGGTCAGCATGTCAGGCTGCTGTCTAACCATTGTCAGCTTTTTTTTTTTTAGGCATTACAGCAAAGGAAATTTGTAAGGAGGGTTTTGAAAGAGGATAATGAGATAGCCCTGTGGATGTTTTTGAGGAGCTGCTACCAAACACAAGGAGCAGAATGGGAAAAAGCACACAGGTGCTTCTCTGAAAACAAGTAGGCAAGGAGGCTGGTATCATGGGTCGGTCAGAGCCGGGTGCTGACATTTAGATATCACCACAGCTCTCTATAATCCACAGCTGCGCCCCGGCTTGGGCTGGGAGCACCATGCGTGGTGGACGGTCTCGTGCCTTCCCGAGGAGGCTGTGCTTATATTTCTTTTTGTTTCATTTTTAATGGAAAACAGGAAGGTCAGCTGCAGGCAGGTGGGGGAGGGCGCTGAAGATGCTGTGCCTAGGGTTGCATAAGATGTAAATCAAGCCCTGCCCTTCT